GCACTCCAAGCACTAAGCTTGTAATGCAGCAGAAGATGCCCAAATAGCCTGACCTCCAAGATGTCACATTTGTCAAAAGGCGCTAAGATGTGGGTAAGAGCTCTGGCTGTTTATAATTTTTTATTATCAGAAACATACACAAAAAGGAACCAAACCTCTCATGCCACTTTTTTCATTCCTTTCATTCTTTCTAGAGCTTTATTTTATTTATGATGGAAACAACAATCATCTGTAAGCTTCTGCACATTATTACTTCCTGCCTCAAAAGCATCTTACATAGAACTAATCTGCATTATATATGAGCAAAAAAAGCTATATGAAATTTTATTAATCCAGTTCTGAGTATCACAACATACATATATGATCCATCAATGGACAGCAAATAAAGTTAAACCTAATGAATCTACTTGAGGAAAAAAAAAAAACACACAAAAATCCCCTTTGCCCTTGTTTCAGCACTGATCCAGCTCAAGCATACAAGATAAAAACTTTGTTCGCTTACAGTATTTTCTGTTTGCTTCTGGAGTTAACAGACTACTGCATAGAAGTTCCCTATGAGAGTTGTCTCTCAACAGTTGAAGTGTATTCTGTACCTTAAAGACTCAAATTATTTCACTATGAACCCAGAGAAAGTGGAAGAGAGTTAGAATATGGGGAGAGAGAACACTACCTCTTCCTGCGTAAACCACAAGTTACACATCCAGGTAAAACCTTCCACCTGGGGCCCTACCAGCTGTAACCTACCAGATTTTTATTTTTTTTTTTTTGCTTACTAGGTAAAAAACCACTATACTATCAAAATAAATAATTTTGTTTGGTCTCCTCCCAGTTCCTCTTCTGGGTACATTGTATGTTTGGATATCAACCTTAACTAATATTTAACACCACGATCCAGCACAATAATGAATAAAATTCGTCTAATGAGAGCCTTTGAGGAATCAAAAATAATGGAGAGAAACGACAGTGGGTATGTTTCACAACATACCTTGCCATCCACAGATGGCAGAGATCAACAGCCTCCATCCTGAAGCACAATAATAATTTTAAACTACTGCAGCCAACTGCAAAACCTACGGACTTCAGCTGCCTACTGTTCTTAAACATATGAAATGGTAGTTCTGAGTAAGAACTCATCTAAGCCAAATTCTGAATCTACCCAGTATTTCATATTGCCCAATAATGAGGAGCTTCCTATCTGGAAGGCTGAATTGGATGAGTTACAATTTGAGTCCCTGTATAAAAGCTGAGCTCCTCCAGACTGACTCCTTGCTAAGCCTCTTAAATCCTCAGTTTATCCACCCGCCTGCTTCAGAGCTTTTTGCAGAAGTTAGGCAGGGTATCTTCAGCCAGGATACCAGTCACTACCATCTCAACAGTTTCAGGAGGGTTATACCCATCTATATCAGCTAGGAAGTTTACAGGTCACATCTCTTTGCTCACTGAACTTAATGCATGTCCCAGCATCTTCAATTATTGCCAAGAAAACACAGAAGAGGCTCCACCACACCATTAAGACTGTTAGGTGACCCTGTTCACTTCAATCAACCCAAAAAAATAAAATAGACAGCAGGATTAAAATCTAGTGAGCTAATAGACTTTATAATATACAGGGAACTACTGTAAGCCTAACAAACCAGAAAGGTTTCAAACAGAAGGTAACTGACAAAGAGTAAAAAAGGAAGATGTGATCCAGTCCAGCCAACAGAGATAAAACAACTAAAACAAACAACAAATGTTACCTCGACACTGTAACTGCTCACGGAAAACAGGAACAATTCCAAGCAAAGATCTTATCATAGGAGGTTACATTTAACTTTCATCCTCCTTAAAGCTAGCATGCTTAATCCACAGAAACAGGGTTTGTAATAAGCTTAGTTCATGATAAATATTATAAAAGCTTTACCTACTTAGTGGTAGACCAGAGGGATGTTGAGAAGCTTGCCCAAGTTCTCACAGTGGTTCACAGAAGAACCACCTGCTGGAGATCACCTCTGTGCTTATAATAAACCTCAAGGATTTATGCCAAGATGAATTCTTAACTTCCACCATGAAATACTCAAAACAGTCATTTTCACTAGAAAGAAACAGGCTGGTGACCGCAGCGAAGTGAAAAGAAAATACCACCATTCAATTTTCTGGCCTGAAAGACCAAGTAGCTGCTGGACTATTTAACTGCCTTGGACTGCTTAGGCAAAAGTCTCTCACAAGCTTTTTAGCCTTGTTATGAGATATCCTAATGCTGGGATATTTAAAAATAAATGAAAACTTTTATAAAAATCAGGATGTAATGTAGTAAGAAAAATTCACACAGGCAGGAACAAGTGAGGGCAGGATTAAAAATCCTAGTAAGATAACAACTCAAAAATAAGGCAAAATTTGTATTTTTTCTTGGCTCACAGCCCTTCTCTCTGTATGAACTTATCCAGATATGCAGACTTTGCAGTCAAAAATCAATTTTTACTGCTTTTTATTTCCATGTGCACTCTGGTGTCTAAAGAGATGTAACAACTAAACTGGTTTAATTTTTGGCTAATGCACCATGAACTAAGCAAATTCTACCGATAAGCTATTTAAGAAATCACTCTCTGGTACACTGTACGTGTTTTCTGACTACTCATTTAATAATTCTGAAGTACTTCAGTGTTAACCACTGATTCAGAGCCAAGCAGAAGAGGCACAACGAGATTTCAAAATACTCTGAAAATGCCCTTGCAAGGCATATGGCTAAAAGGGGAAAACATCATTCAACTTCCAAGTACAAAGTTTGAAACTTTAGTACCAGAAAAGAAGAATGTCATACTTAGTGAGTCATTTATAAAATCTGGATGGATTATGTGTATGTATTTATACGTGTATGTTACTGATTAAGTGCACTGCAAAACAAAACATAGGAAAGTCAGGTTACAGAAAATTTTCTGTACTTCAGAAACCAAATTATTTGATTCTTAGAAAAGTCTCATATCTGGTTGAAAAACTAAGGAATATATATGGTGAAACTAACATCTAAAAAATTTAAGACTAATAAGGATGACATTTGCTTATTATGTATTACTTATAAAGGTACAGGTGCTGGAAGAAAATACTTAGAAATACAAGTGTTAATGAAGTCTTAACTGACTTATTAATTAAAGCAATTTTAACAAAGAATTGCTGCAGTATAAGCACAAGTCTATTCCCTTCCTGAACATACTGCTCCCATAACAGGTTTTATTTATGGCACACAATCTCTCAGAAACTTTTTACAGAGCTCAGGAAATTCATGAACCAATTGCCATGAGCAGAGCATATGGATCAGAGTAACTCACTGTCAACATAACTCGGTGACATATGTCATTTTGCTGCAACTTCTGCAGAGAGAGAGACTGAACTGACAACCATAGAGTAATTTTAATTTGAAACTTTTATTGCCTATTCAATTTAAATAAAACCTTTTAAGGGGAAAATTAGGTCATGCAGTCCTCTTGCTAGTTTCTACACTGACATTACAGCCTTGAGTCAATTGTCCATACTTCCATGTGCCTGCCCACTTGAGATGCCTTGGGGAGGCCAAGGTATCATTAAAGAACAGAAAAAGCACAGGACTTTTAAAAGGTCTCCATCTGTCCTGAATAGAAATCAGCATAACAGGCCATCTCAAAGGATACCAGTTACCTTTGTGGGGCAATCGAAACAGAGCTTCTACACCAAATAGCACTCCATTGTTGGATGCCCAACCTCACATAGATGTATCTTGAGGCGAGCACATGGAGCTGAGTGCCAAGCACCCACTGCTGTCAGTGGACTTGAGAGAGACATTAAATTAATTCTACACTCAACACCTACACCTTGTAACTTGAACAGCTCCCCTGATGCCTCTGACTCTACACACAAAACTTCCATTGACAGTCAAATATGATACTCAGCTCACCCTATGGAGTATGGTATCTGATACTCAGATACCAAATTAACAAGCCAAAGTCCACCCTAAAACTAGATGGGATTATTATCAATATAGGAACCACAGCTTGGCCCACGGAACTTGAGGCAAATAAGCTCAACTAAATATTTCTAGATCAATAATCATTGTAGCATCTATTATGGTCAGTGCAAAGATACTGATGCCTTCAGAGCTGGATTCAGTTAAATGCCTGATTTTGGACAAGACTTATCCACAGCTACCCATATCCTCCAAAGCATACAGGAACATGCTCAATTTCTCTTAATGACAGCTGTAGCTAACTTATACAGCCATGTGTTCATGATGTCATTAGCTTTATTCCTTCTTCTGTCACGTTCCTGTATTGTTCGTTTTCTTCTTTCCAAGTCAGTTATAAACCTTAACACCCTCCCTTAATCACTTTCTTCAACAACACTTAAAACAATCTTAATGAGACCCCAGATGGTAAGAAAGTAAGAAAACTGCTGTCTGGTATTTATTTAAAACAGAAGTCAGATCACACAGAGAACTCTACAAGTTCACCAGCACTGATCAGCCATCAGATGGATTCAGTACCTGAGATTACCGAGAGACCAACAAAACAGCACTACAGTCAAGTTACAGTTCTTCTTGGTGTGTGCTATACTTAGCAAAGTTCTGACACTACATTAGATGTTGACAAATTAGCCTTTCAAGGTTTATAGCCCCATGATAATTCTGACTCTACAAAAAGTGAAAAGCACCCTTTTTCAAACCTCAACAGATATACCAATAGTAAAGTTAGCATCAATACTTCCTTGCCAGGAGGTCCTCTATTTTAAGCTATGGATGAAAACTGACAAGTCAGAACAACAAGTTTTGCAGGAGAAAAAATGGGTAACAAAGGAGGCAAATACTTGAAAAAAAACAAAAAAATTTCAAACATTTGTTAGCATTTATGTAATGAAGGAAGACTTGCATACATATGGAGAAACTGCACGTCTGCCGTGTGTAAAGCCTGCTAAATTATGAAAACACCCAAGAGGAGTGAAACACCAGACCAAAAATGCCAATCTCCTAAACAAAATTAACAAAGTAAGATTACCTTGTTCCAGTCTAAAGCATAGGGAACGTTTTGCAGCTTCTATCTCAGGAGTTGGATGATCCAGAACACGTCTGCACCACTGCATAGGACTCAGCGATTTCTCTCGTGGAGCGCGAGTCTTGGTAGGCAAGACGTACAACCTTAACCAAAACACACAGAAGTATGAGCAAGATATGCAATACTGTATAGTCGGCTTTTGTAAGGTCACTTTCCTATTAGATGCTAATAATTTATAACATCTAAAGCCCTGCAAAAGGATATCTAATAAAAAGCAATATATTCTGAAATAGAACAGTTTGCATTAGTTTTCTTTCTTCCCTCCTCAGAAAAACAGGTGGCAAAATATCACCTCTACAGGTCTGGCACGACCAAACAAAGTTCAAGTAGATTTCATGTTAAAATCTTCTGTCTAATCACTACCATTGTCTGAATTTCAGCACTGCCCAAAGTTCAAATGCATTAGGCGCTGTACACACATCAAAGGTGCTCTTGCTCTTCCCTATATTTACTGGTGATTTAGATAATTTCAGTATCTCATTTTGTCTTCACCCAGATGAACTAGATTTTGGCCAAGTCATATTTGTAATGATTAAAAATTATTTGATGAGAAACACTGAAAACCTATTTTCAACATTCAACACCAGAAAAAAAAAGCACATATGCAAAAAAAAGCTAGTGTATGTACATTATTCTCAGACAAGAGCTGGCATCTCTTGATCAGTTGCGTATCAGGAAACCAGGTTTCAAAGCAGATTTCATGGGAGAATTCGTGAGGCTGAGATCTGGGTTGCTACTGTCGCCCTGGCAGATTAGCAGGCACAACAGATGCTGATTCACCTGGGAGAGCGCAAATCTTCCAGGAAGCAAACTATTCTTGTCTGCTGGACAAGACTCTGACTCACAGATCCCTGGCCTGACCACCTCTGAGACAGGGGGCTAGGGACACCCAGAGGCAGATTCTCAAGGCACCAGAAAAACACTCCACAGACAGCGAAGGGATCAGGCCTGTACAAAAGGGCAAGAAAGGCAAGAGCAAAAGCAAAAACTAAACAGGATTTTGCCACTCAGGGGGTCACCAACAGGTAGCAGCAGCCTTCCACCTTCACAGTTTTGGCTCAAGAGCTACCCACATCCCACCAGAGCACCCCTTCTCCAGTGTCTGCTCCATAGAGGTTTTCACCTTTGAAGTCAATCAGCACTGTCTAACCAGTTCACATGGAATAAAATCCTCACTGTGATTGCTATCTCTGTTTTGGCAATCCCAGCAAAGATCAACTATTGAATTGCTCTGAGGAGAGGACTCATTTCCCCAGACTTCCTGCAGTGCCTCACCACACATTTAAAAAAAGGATACTGAGAAAACCAAGAAACGAAGGGAAGAAAAGCTTTCAGGTTTCCTGTTAACCTGCAGAAGTGCTTCAAAAGCTGAACATCTGACTGATGATCAGACCTTCCTGTAAAAAGCTGAACACTACAAAGTAGTTTGACTTGTCTGCCGTTCCACAGGGTTGGCTGGTTTCAGGGGTTTTTGTAACTGAAGTGAAAACAAAAAAGCAAAAAAACGCAAGCAAAACACAATAAAACAAAGGTACTTAAGGCCTAAAATTACTGATCAACAACTAGGATATACACTGAAGGCTTTGGCTTTTGAGACAGCAGTTTGCTTTAAAGACTGAGATTACAAAAAAGCCCCAAGCAACTGGCATCACACGCCTGACCTTTCATGGACAATGACAGAGATTTATCCTTGAACTAAAAACGTTCAACAGCTGAAACAACCCATTCTTAGTGGAATAAATTTGTTAACAAACCCCTGTCATAAAATTCTGCCTGTGGACACATAGATGTGTGATATAAAGGTACATTTTGACACCCAAATCTAGGATTGCTCCCAGGGAGGAAATCAAATTGGAAATTTCATTACAGCACATAATGCAATGACAACTTACTACCACCCTAAAATGTAAACAAGGAAAGCATTTTGTTTAACAAGACATTATCAAACAAATTTGATATTCCTTAATGCTGGGAAAGCTAGAAGTCAGAACCAATGTAAAATTGGATTTAAGTCTGGACTGATAAGCCCAAACCAGCCCTGCACAGACCAACCACATGCACAATGAAGCAACGCTGAGAGAAATTTCCACATGATTTGTACATGATTCTCAAAAGCCATTTTCAGAAACACAGTATTGTGCACCATGAAGCACATACAACAATCAGAAACATTTCTGACATTTAGATTAATTTTTGAACACTTTATTTTCTATCAAAATTAAGAACGTTTGAACACATCTCAGCTTCTTTATACTGCATTTTATTCTTATCTGACATTAACTTTAGCTTGATTCAAAAACTAACCTCATAAGAAAGAAAGCTACATGGACGCTTACACACGTACTCTCAACCTGTTATTAAAATAAAGATCTATATATTGCCACTTCAAAACAATTCAGGATCAGTGACGTTCCACATGATTACACAGCCAAGATAGTATTCCAGCACTGTCCCTACGATGTCCGCCCACGTTGCTGAAACAGGTTTTGAGGCACTAGCTTTACTGATCTACTTGTATCTCTACCTGGCAATCTCCCCTTCTGTTTGTTTTTAAGGGATTCGTCCAGGTCGATTTTACTTTTCGCTTTATTCATTCGCTATCCATTTCCGATTTATTCCATTTACTAGCACCCTGCCATGCCTTTTGGAGCTACATGTGCGCGTAAAACACGCAATTCAGATCAACATCTAAAAGACAAAAGCCCTCCCAAATCCCTGAAGATGAGAGACAATTTGGCAGAGATTTTAGGATGAGGAGGCAGTGCTGCTCAGATCAAGGCTTTCCCGGAACGAAATTCCGCTATTTTTAATTCCTTATGTAAACACGAGGCTGAAACTAGGCTGAGATCTGTACGATATTCCTCGGGGCGGAAAGCGAGCTCTGCTCCCCACGGAGGGCGCGACGCCCCGGGCCAGCCGGGCGGCGAAGCCCCGACCTGAGCCGCGTCCCTTCCCTCGGCAGGGCGGCACGGTTTGGAATGGGGATGGAGAGGAGGAAAAAAAAAAGGGGGGGGGGGGGGGGGGAAGCAGATTTCAGTCTAAGCAGGGAGATCAAGTGGATTTGGGGGCTAATGCTAATCAGAGCCGAGAGACCGCTACGGGAGACCCGGCCGGGGGGGCACAGCCGGGCCGGACCGAGGAGCAGGGCAGGGCCGAGCCGCACGTACCATGTATCCTCGTCCTCTCCGCAGCCGTCCTCCAGCTCCAGCACCGCCACCTCATCCAGCACCGTGGCCGCCGCCCCCGGGCCGCCGCCGCCTTCCTGCCCGCCGCCAGCGGCCGGCGGCCCGGGCGAGGGTGTGAAGTAGGCGAGGGGCTCCGGCGGGCACAGCAGGGTGGGCACCGGGCTGGGCAGGCACGGCGGGCCCGCGGCTGGGGGGCTGGCGGGGCGCAGCCCGCCCGGGGCCGGCGGCGGGGCCAGCAGCAGGTGCGGGCTGGGCGGGCCGGTGGCCACCGCGGCGGCGGCGGCGCGGCTTCGGAGCTGCTCGTTCTGCTTCTCCAGCTTCCGCACCAGCTCCTGCAGCTTCTTCACCTCCAGCTCGGCGCTGACGGCGGAGCCGGCGCCGCTCCCCTTCACCTCCGCCATCATCGCCGGCTTCAGCAAGGCAGCCTCCATCCTGCCGGCCCGCTGCCGCCGCCGGCACCTGCTCCGCCGCGCCGCCGGAGGGCAGCGCCCGGCTCCCGGGGGAGGCGGGAGCGCCGGGGAGCGCCGCTCGCAGCGCTGGGGTCCGGCCCTGCGCCGCTGTGCCTGCCACCCCGCCGGCCCCGCTCCTGCGCCTCCCGTTAACGGCGGCGCGGGCCGGATCCCCTCCCACTCCGGCAGCCCGAGCGACGCGCACACGCACTCGGCAGGAACAAAGAGCCGCCCGGCGCCCCCGCCATCCAGCCCCGGGGAAGGGCGGCGGGGAGCACCTCTGAGGGGAGCCCCGGGTGTTTAAAGAAAGGTGCCTTCCCCCCACTGCACCCCACCGCGTCTCGCCCCGCCCGCGGGCTGGATCCGGCCCAGGGCGCCGCGCCTCTCGTGAGCCGTGTAATTAGAGCCTCGTGGTGTCAGGGTTGTAATTATGCAGATTGAGCGTGTGAGGGGAATGGGAATCACAAATAGAGGCTTTGTTGGGCTTGAAAGGAGCTAATTCAGCCAAAAGCTGCCGTTTGTAGGTTTGAAACGTGCTGATTCTGGGAGTTTTGGCGCAAAGCGAGGAAAGCGACGCGTTTTTCAAGTTCCGTCGGTGGTGAAGCAAAGATTGAACCGAGCATTGCAGAAAACGACGTAACTATGTATTGGTTATGTACAGGAGAACTGAAGTGAAAGATGCCCTCGTATTGAAATGACTCCCTTAACCAAATCCAGACACATAGGTGCGCTTGTAGCTTGCAAATCTTTGAGAGAGAGTGGGATGAATAATGTTCACTTATGGTAGTGGTTTTGCGTTGTCTTCCATTGCCCAGGACTGTAAGAAGCCATTGCTTGGGTCCCTTGCGTCACCTAGGAGGTGAGCAGAGATTCGGTGTTACCCAAGACAGCTCAGGCATCACACAACCCTCCTTCAGTTCATTTCCTCTGGCTACAGCTTTAGGGGACAACCTTCTAAGTCACAGTCCTAAGTCTCCTACAGCTCTGATAAGAAATCAGGAACAAATCTCGTAAATCAGGCAGGTTCAGATTAGATATTATAAAATACTTCTTCACCAAAAGTGTCATCAAGCATAAGAACAGAGTGCCCAGGGAAGTGGTTGAGTCACAATCCTGCAAATATTTAAAGGATGTATAGATGTGACACTTGGGGATGGTTTAGTTGGCGTTGCTAGGTTAGCAGACTCAGTGATCTTTGATGTCTTTGCCAGCCTAAATGATTCTGTGAGTCTAAGGGTTGTAAGCTGCCCAGCTACCCACTAAAAATAGTCACTGGTCAGTCGCTACCCAATTCTTGAACATCAGCTTTAGGCAGAGCACTATCAGCCACTGCTGCCTTCACCCTGCTTTGTTACTCTCAGGTTTCTGGTGTAAGGATGAACAGACACTGATTCTATGTTCAGGGCATCAGTCAACTTTGAAATCATCCAGCCTGTCACAATTTTGTCTCTTTTGTTTATAATCTGGAAACTTTCTTCTGCACAGGACAACAGCACTCTTGCAGTATAGATAACAACCAGTCCTTTAAGAATGACTAGAAAGGAAGCTAGAGTGGAGCACAAAGCATTGACTTCCAGATGATATAACTTCTATCAGTGAAGAGAGTAAACACACCCCCCCAGTGTACTGCTTTGCAACCAGATAGCACTTAATCTAAAACTTTGGTGGTGTCTTCTTTGTCCCTTTGGAAGAAAGAAGAGGGAAATGTTGAGAGTGTAAAAGCCATCTGGCCCAAATTCTTCCATGTTTTATTAGAATGAGTAGCAGAATCTAGTTTTCACTACTACAGATAGCTGTAATCTTAATTCCCTCAAGTAAAAGGACAATTGAGCTTCTTTCTACATGTTTAGTCAGGGGAAAAAATGTGTATCTCTCAGTTTGTTATCACTAATAACGGTACTAGCCTTAATTCTTAGAAGTGCTTTGTTAATCCAGTAAAATTGCAAAATGATATAAAATATTAATTGGCAGCATATGTAATATTGAGTTTATTATACCTCACTACAGTGAAAGAAAAAAACAAGATGAAATTTATTATCAGTGCTGGAGGATGCAACAAGGCAGTAGAGATTCAGTTGTATATCATAACATTTTTTTCACTGAAAGAGTAGTTAGGCGTTTTAATAAATTGCCCGTGTAGGTGGTGGAACCACTGTCTCTGGAAGCATTCAAGAGGTGTCTGGATGTGGCAGTTGGGGATATGGTTTAGGGGTGATTATAGTGGTGCCAGGTTGATGATTTGACTAGATGATCTTGGTCTCTTCCAGCCTTGATGATTCTGTGAAATACTCAAAATAGATTCAAAATGGAGGAAATCTTTATTTATTTATTTATTTTATTTGAACCAAGGATGCAAAGTCTTTTAGTGGACCAGGGAAAAAACCCAGTAAATAGGTCTCTGAAGTTTTCAGTTGTCAGAACTTAACAGTGTGATCTGGATATTGCAGCACTAAAAATATCTTGATGCAGACATCAGTTTGGAGATACATCAGGACACACATTTAAAGATGGGGTAGAGTATGTAGCATCATAGCACAGGATCTTAAGTCGCCATGGGAATGCTTGTCCTCAGTTATGAGTACAAGTAGTTGAAAATTTTCAAATGCCCTCTACTGTTTCTGTCACCTACACAAATGTTGCATGCAGGCATTCATTTCAGAACTCAGCTGCCAAAAAGAAAAAGCTTAGGACTCAGCATTGTGCCCTAGTATGGGTACAAATGCATCTTTCCCAGACAGACACATTGTTCATAGACATCATATCACCAAGAAAATGGTCCAGAGATCAACTCTTTCTTGACTGGGACTTCTTAAGTGAGATACCCAGTAGTATGGGTAGAAAACAGCTTAAAGTTATGCATAGTTGAGCTACCATGCTCCCAGTCAGCATGGAAGATGCTGGCTTTTCCAGGCGTTTCCTGTACAAGTGGATCTAGTAAAGGGAAAATATGCACTTCACTGTGTTATATTTGTTGCTCTAATTTAAGTGTACTTGTAATTTCACTAACACATAATTCCACTGATAACATAGCTTCAAAAAGAGGTGCTGGCAGGTAAAATTTTTGTTGATGAATACACCGTCCCATGGTTTTCAGGTTGGTCTGTTTGAATACTGCAAAGATGATTTGAACATATTAGTATTTTCAATTTAAATATAAATTTTTAAATATATAAATATATATAAAATTTAAATATATAAATATAAATAAAATAAATATATAAAAATATAAAATTTTAAATATTAATTTTTAAATATAAATTACACTCCTCCCAATATTGACATTACTAATAAATTGTTAATGGGCTCCATTCAGTAGCCCAGCAATAGCTGATGAGTTTGATCAACCCAGAACTTCATCAGCACTTTACAAACCACACTGAAGACTTGATGGTTCCATTCTTTTTTTAAGGCATTGATAAAATGTGTCTAATAACAACTCCAAACACCCTAATGTGCCCATGAAACCTGTTACTCCTGGATTTGAGAAATTATATGCCCTAAATCAGTAGAAATCTGCTATAGGATGCTACTTACACAGTATCCTATAGTAGGAATTTCTGAATCAGCGTAGTTACTAATAGGCTGTCAATGCAGAGAACAAAGAAGCAGGAAGTCCGCAAATCCCATCTGCTCTTTTCTGGTAATAAGCTTGTTGCTTTATGCTGCAATAGCTGCAGGCTGGATCTGCCTTTCAGGCAAGCCAGTAAAGAATTAATTGCTGTAATCCAGTCTGGGCTATACAAAAGATGGGTAACAATAAGGTCAAAGCACGGACAGTAAACTCCTGGAGTCTTGTAAGGTTATTTTAAAGCACAGTTCCAGTCTGAAAAATGACTGTGAAAGTAGTTTTATAAAAATAGAGCCCCTATCATGCCAGAAGTCCATCCTATCCAGTATTCTGCCTTTAGCAAGGGCTGATAGTAGCTTCATAAGGAAAATATCTCAGAAACAAGAGAAATATTGAGGGATATTTTCCCTCTTTTAGAAGTCATTGAATCAGGACATCTGGATCATTTAATTTTGATAGCAACCAACGTGTAATAATATTCCATTTGCTGAGACCCATTTTTAAGCCATTTAAACATTAGGGCTCTACAACCCCCTATGGCAATTAGAGCTGCAATTTAATAATGTATTGTTAGAAAAACTACTTCTTATTATCTACTTTAAATCTGCTGCTTAGTAATTTGATTGGGTGCCCCTTAGTTCTGGTTTTCTGAGAAAGACAGAATGATTAATCATTCTCTATTCAGCTTCTCTTTGTCATTCATGACTATATAAAATTTAGATACTTCTCTTCCCAGCTGACAAGCCCTAATTTATATAGCCTTATCCCTACAGAAGTCGGGCCAAACCTCCCATTGTTTCCTGTCTCACTCCATAATGAAAATAGAATTTTCTAACCCACTGTTTTCTTTCTATTCTCACTGCATGTTTTCTTATAAAGCCAAATGATCTCAGTTAAAGAAATCAGCTTAACCAAAAGCATATTGGTGTCTTCAGAAACATTCATATATTCATGCCCTGATTTAAAAAAATCTGTGCACTCTCCTCCAATATATCATACATATCTAGATGCTTCTGTATTCTGTTATTTATTCCAATTTGTACAAATTGACTTGATAAAAAAAAAATAAGACTAAATGAAATGTAGTTACCTAGAGCAGTTTTCGTGTTTTTTTCAAGGCTGTTGCCCCAGCTGATGCTTCCAATTTCTTTGGCACCTAGCCTGCTTTGAATGGTAAGGTAAATGTTTCTGACATTGTTTCACTGTTTCAGCAATCTAATACCTGAGTTGGCCTAGAGGTTTTGTATAGACACTACCTAGACTTAGAAATTTGTTACTGTTAAATTTATATATTTACTCTGCATTATTTGAGCAATTAAACATTTTCCTTAAGTTACAGCATGTATTCTTCACTCTTGATGTCTCTTGGAAACATTTTGACTTCCTGTTGCTAATTTCATGCTAATTGACTTCC